GTGAGGGGGGCTCTGTCTACACACAGAGGCAGGAGGAGCATGGGAATGAGGGGGGCTCTGTCTACACACAGAGGCAGGACCATGGGAGTGAGGGGGGCTCTGTCTGTGCACAGAGGCAGGACCATGGGAGTGAGGGGAGCTCTGTCTACACACAGAGGCAGGAGGAGCATGGGGGTGAGGGGGGCTCTGTCTGTGCACAGAGGCAGGAGCATGGGGGTGAGGGGCCTTTGTCTGTGCACAGAACCAGAGCGAGTGGGGATAGGCAGGACAGTCAGGGTCCCAGCCCCCAAGACCTGGAGTTCAGAGCCATGGCCAGACTGGGACCAACCCGCTCCAGGAGGTTTGGTGTCATCCCAGAAATGAGGACGACCTCACTTCCTCACTCCGACCCCATCCCCAGCACCCCCTGGGCATCGCCGCCTCCTGGCTGCATGACCCTGGTGCCTGTGCCAGGACAAGGCTGACCCAGAGCCTGGGGAGCTGACGCCCCGGGGAGGACAGGAGGGCTCTCAGCTGGTGGCAGCCCCAGTGTCCGCTGGTAGAGAGCCCTGAGAGGGTCACAACATCCTGGGGCAAGACAACAGGACAGAGTTGGAGGTTGACCAGGCCCTGGTTCCCTTCTCCTTTCCCAGGGGAGAAGGGGTGTGTAAAGAAGCAAACATCACCGTCCATCCAACCCAGTTGCAAGGCCAGTACCAAGGCTCCTGTGAGTGCCCCTGTCCGGGATCCAGGCTGGGCTGAGTCGGGAGGGGTGAGCAAGGGACGCTCAGACGCCCTGTCCTGGCCGCAACACTCAGGAGGGGGCTGTCGGCTTTGGGGAAAGACCAGGTGCTGGAAGGAGGGCGTGCATCCTCTTGGTCGCACTGCACTGTCCACAGGGCATGGGAGGGGTCCAGGGCCTGGGGGACAGAGGAGCGAGGCATCGTGTATCACCCGGCCCCGGGGTCTCCCACAGTTGAGGGCGGCAGCATGCACATACGCTTCGTCAGCACCGACTACAGCAACCTCGTTCTTTACGTGCGCTTTGAGGATGACGAGATCACCAGCCTGTGGGTGCTGCTGGGTAAGTGGTCAGCTCTCCCCAGCGCTGGCCGGTGCAGTGCCCGGGTCCCCAGATAGGAGGGAGGAGCTGCCAGACACTCCTGGGTCTGTGCGGAGACTTGCCGTCCTGTCTGGGAGGTACCTTCTGTGCAGGGTGTTCTGAGGGCTCAGGCAGCCTCAGGCTGAGCTGCAGCTGAGCGCACCCTCAGGGAGGGTGTCCCCACGCAGGACGTGCACTGTGGGTCGGCTACGAGGCGGGCACGGCTCTGGGCGCTGCACTGGGAGCTTGAATTATCAGTGGATGGATCTGAGAAAATGCTTTCCTTGTCTTCCTCCTTATCAAACAATGTCTCGGGGTCCTGTAGGGTCTGAAAGTAAAAGCACCATGGGAGAAGGGCTCGAAGGGCACAGGGGACAGAGTCGGGTACATCGAGGGGCTGCAGTGTCCTGAAGACGAGGTGGAGATAGATGGGCCTGGGGGCATTTCAGGGCGGAGGATCAGCTGCAGCCCGAGCCTGGGATGGGGTAGGGGAGCGGGACAGCAGCAGTCGAGAGGCCCCAGGGCTGAGAAAGTCAAGAGGGTGGGAAGGGTGGCCCCAGGCCGGAACTCGGGACCCTCTGGGAATCTCCACTGAGGCGGGCCAGGCCTGACTCCCTCCTTCCAGGGGCACTTTACCTGCCATGCTCAGAACAGACCTGTGTTTAGAGGAGACAAGGTTGGGGCCACTGCAATCAGAGCTGGCCGGGCCCGGGAGGTCGCAGAGAGGGTGCTGCCGTGGTCCGACGAGCCCCCAGCCCATGGCAACTTAGCAGTGGGGTAGCAGATGCCCAGGGCTTCTGCCTCCCCGTTGTTCTCCGCAGAGGAGGAGGGCAGAAAAGACAGAGGCTCCAGGCCTCAGTCCCTCACTGTCAGCTCCTCTGATTCCAGCCAGAAGAATGCAGGAGGACCCCAAATGGGTGGGAAGATACTTGGAGTACGTGGAGAAATTCCACCTACAGAAAGCCCCAGTCTTCAACATAGATGGTGAGCACTGCCCCCCAGCCACGTCCCGGAGCCTGACGGGAGGAAGACTCAAGAGTCTAGGCCTGGTCTTCCCAGCCAGCACCACAGAGGGTGTAGCCCATCCCCACTCCCCTTATGGCCAGGCCTGTGCGGGCTGCTTCAGGGGCTGCCGGATTTCACCAGCCCTACGTGACACAATGATATGGGCCCGATGCCGTCTCCACTCTACAGATGTGGCTCAGAGATGTTCAGTAACAAGGCCAAGTTGCACAGCCAGGATGAGGAGCTGGAAGGGATCCAGATCTCCTGCCTTCTGAGCCAAGTGCCCGGCCAGCCTCTCCCCTCTGCTGCCTCCCAACGCATCATTCAGTCAATTAACAAACACATGGGCCAGGCCTGTTCTGGGAGTTTGGGATTCACTTAGAACAAGACAGAGGCATCATCCAGCCCTAGTGCAGGTTACATTGTAGCAAGCATTGTAATTACCTGATTTGTTAGAGGCAAGGGCTACAGGGGTGGGAGTGGGGGCTAGAGCAGGGTTTGGGGAGCCTGACCATACTGTGTGAGTACAGGCAGCCAGGGTGGGTGGCCCTGAGATGGGATGAGGTGAGGAGGGCTCCCTGGAAGAGGGGTCATGTGGATGGAACGGGAGTCGAGCAGAGGAGGGCAGGGATGAGATCCAAGGCTGAGTGGGGCAGTGGTGGGGCCTTGTGGGCCCCCAAGGGAACTGGGTTTCCACAGAGCACAGGGCCCTGGCAGGACACAGCCAACATGGGGAGGCAGAAGGCCAGGTGATGCCACTGAGGGATGGCTGTTTCGTGCTATGTGATTGGTTGATTGATTGATTTCAAAATGAATAAGTGAAGTCCTCAGAATCATCAACTTTTTCTTTTCTGCTCCACAGGCCCTTGTCCCCCACCCCGAGCCTAGGTCTGGCGGCTCCGGAGTCTTCCTACCTGGGCCTCTTACCCCTCTGTTGCCCTCAGCCCCCCTTCCACCTCCTTCACCTTGGTCTGTGGCCTAGACTCTGCCCCAGCTCCCTGCTGGAAGTCCTTTTGCATCTCAGGGACCCAAGGAAGCTCCCCAGCCTGGGGCTCAACCCTGCCTGTCTCCTGGTCCCCTCCCCTGCTGGGAAGGCCTCTTCCTTCTGTGGGTCTCCAGGTCCTACCAACCACCTGCCAACCAACAGCCAAGGGCCAACAGCATGCCCCAGCCTGGTCTGTGGGCTTGGAGCACACCCAGGGTGGTGAGGAGGGGGCACACGGCCCCCTGAGCTCCTGCCCACAACACCAGATGCCTCCGAAACATATACAATGAGTGGAACACTGTAGCCCCAGGCGCCTCCGATGCGCCCCCTGAGAGCTGCTGGGGTGGCCCCCAAGTGTCCTTCAGGAACTTGACCCCACGGAGGCTGTTCTCAGACTCCAGCTCCTCTCCACTCTGACCCGCCTCACCTGGGTCTGCTGAGGACCCTCTAGAGAGGCGGCGTCCATGCTCCATGAGCAAACACATATGTCCCTACCGAGGTCCGAGAATGCTGAGTGAGCCCAGCTCCAGACCCTGCTCCCCACAGGAGTCCAGCGGGGCCGCCAGGTAAACAAGGACAGCTCTACCTGTGTGGCAGGTGAGACCGGCCAACGCCCACCCCTCCGAGCCCAGGATTCTGAAGCGCAGCACCTGCTTCTGCTCCCGGCGAGCCAGGGCCGCCCATCGGCAGGGCAGGCTCTGAGGAAATTGGGTCAAGGACTTGATACCTGTTGTCTGGAACTCCCAAGACAGGTATGGCCAGAGGCTGCCCCGAAAACGCCTTCAGTGAGGCCTTTTCCCCCTTCTCCCCCTTCTCCCCCTTCTCCCCCACGTGGGATAAACACAACGGAACGAAACCCAGAGCTGGTGGTGAAGCTGATGATGAAGCCCCACGGTTCTCCTGAAAATCAACAAGCCCGGCTGGAAAAACACAAGGAAAAACGACACTCACAAAGCACACGTGTAACAAGAGGTTTATGGAATTTGTAAGATCATAAAAAATAGCTTTTTCTGGGGCCCTAAAATGACCGGGATAAATAGCGACGCGAGAGTACTGCGTCTCTCTCAGCATCGTTGAGTTGATAACCTCAGGTTCACCCACACACTTCAGCAATTCCATTATTCTTCCAGTGGGATTTTTCCCCAAACTGCAGATCTGTATCTAAAATTTACATGAAGGAATAAAAGTTTGGAAACATTTTTAAAAGAAGCATCATGCAGATGGCTGTACCATTCTATCCTAGTATCAAACAGTAGTGATGAGAAGCATGTGACATTAGCTCAGGGCAAAAGAACAGCAAGAAACTGGGTATCGAGTCAAGAATGAACCCGAATGTATACAACAACTTCAGAGATGGTACAAATGGTCTGTCCTAAAAAAGCATTATTTATTCAATAAATAGTGTTGAGGGAAATGGGCAAGACAGATTGGGGGAAATAAGATTGGCTATCTCACCTACACATTATCTTAAAATTCGTTCCTGATCAATTCTGAATAAGAGGAAGGAAATCTTGAAACTTCTTTCTATAACTTGCGGATGGGGTGCCTACATGGACAGTATCAACACCAGGGGAAAGGTTGAGAGCTTTAAATTTGGCATATCAAAGACATCATCAACACTATCAAAATGGAAAGAACAATCTGAAATTAACATTTGCAGCAAAAGTGACGAAGGGTTCATATCACATATGTAAATACATATGTAAATCAGAACTCCTTGAAGGGCCAGGTGTGGTGGCTCATGCCTGTAATCCCATCACTGTGGAAGGCTGGGGGCCAAACGATGGCTTGAGCCCAGGAGTTTGAGACCAGCCTGGGCAATATAGCAAGACCCTGTCTCTAAAAAAAAAAAAAAAAAAAAAACTTAAAAAAAAGCAGTCCCAAATTAAAAAAAAAAAAAAAAAGAAAAAAAATAGCTGTTCATTGTGATATGCATCTGTAGTTGCAGCTACTTGGAAGGCTAAGGCTGGCAGATCCCTCGAGCTCAGGAGTTTGAGGCTGCAGTAAGCCATGATATCACACCACTGCACTCCAGCTTGGGCAACAGAGTGAGATCCTGTCTCTGAAAGTTAAAAAAAAAAAAAAAAAAAAAAGCAAGCACTGAGCAAAAGATAGGAAAGGCTATTTGCATAAATCAAAAGGCTGATTCAAAGGTTTGACTTCAGCCAGGTGCAGTGGCTCAAGCCTATAATCCCAGCACTTTGGGAGGCCGAGGCGGGCAGATCACGAGGTCAGGAGATCGAGACCATCCTCGTTAACACGGTGAAACCCCGTCTCTACTAAAAATACAAAAAATTAGCCGGGCGTGGTGGTGGGCGCCTGTAGTCCCAGCTACTCAGGAGGCTGAGGCAGGAGAATGGTGTGAACCCGGGAGGCAGAGCTTGCAGTGAGCCCAGTCTGGACTCCAGTCTGGGTGATAGAGCAAGACTCCGTCTCGGAAAAAAAAAAAGGTTTGACTTCATAAGTAATCAAATAAAAAGGAGAGGTCATTTGTTATTGCTCATCAAATTGGCAAAATTGAACTACTTCTAGAAATCAGTTTAGCACCCACCGTGAGGGAGGCACACGCTGGTTGGTGGGGACAGATGCTGGCTTTTCTGAGTGACCGGGTTTCTAAGCCTCCTAAGCAGGCTTGCCCTGGCACCTGGAAATTCTAAACATTCGCAAGCTTACCTGTTGTTCTGCCATGCAAATCAAGAAATTTACAATGCTTTAATACTGATTCCATAATTTTTAAAACTAAAACTTCAGAAGCCTTCTCAGTAAGTCTTCTAGCCTCATCCATAAATTGGCAGGAAAAATAAAAGAAGTTTTGTTTAGTTCAGTACACCCCACCCTTTCCAGATCTGGCCCAAGTAATTACTAAAACTGTATATATAGGGTTTGTGGCTAATGTAATATCTATTTTCACCCTTTTGAAACTTTCATAGTTTTTTTTTTTTAAATATGAGAGCTACTGTGTGAGATTCAAGAATAAGTTGCCGAAAAGATCACCTTCTTTTAGTCAAAGGAGACAGCAGCAAAAAAGAGGGAGGGTGAGCTAAGCCTTGACAGATAGGTTCTTTAAGATGGTCCCCGTCATGAACAGGGTATGAGGGGGAGGCCGGGTGACATAACGAAGGGGACCCTGAGGTGGTAGCCCCAGGTCTAATTCTGAACCCAGGGAAGCTTTCCTCAGCCTCCGTCTTCCATCCCAGGAAACAGTGGTTAGCGCCTCTTGCAATCCGGTGTTTGAACTGCCATTATTTTTGGGACACCTACTGGATTAGTTTGCTCAGGCCACTAAGTTAGTGTCCACACATACATGTACATAAGCTAGTCTCCCAAACAAGGGAACATGTGTGACATCCATTTGCCGAAAAGAATTGGGTTCCAGTCCTCGAGGATTAACTCCTCCTGTAAAAGATGAGGAATGCACCATTTGGCAAGTTGGGCATCGCTGGATAGTAGCTTTAGCTTCTTTCCAGGTAACGCTGTATCTGCGTTTGAGACCAGAGGCATTAACACGGCTCAAATTGTGAAAGTGTCGAGCATTAGATATTGCAGTAGCATCTAGGCGATCAGCCATTTGATTCCCTTCAGTCAAAGGTCCTGGAAGAGGTGTATGAGCCCTAATGTGAGTGATGTAAAAAGGGTGCATTCTACTCCTAACTGCTGTTTGCAATTGGGTAGATAAACTCATCAGTTGTTCATTTGTATGAAATCGTAACTAAGCATTTTCAGTTAACTGGGTGGAGTGAACCGCGTATGAAGAATCAGAAATCACATTAATAGACATCTCAAAAGCAGTCAATATCTCAATTACAGCTACAAGCTCTGCTTTTTGAGCTGAAGTACAGGACGTCTGAAAAACTTTACCTTTTGAGCCAGAATAAGAAGCTTTACCATTACTAGACCTATCTGTAAAAACATTCTCAGCACCTTCAATTAGTTTCAATTTAGTTATTTTAGGGAGAATTCAATTAGTTAATTTCAAAAACTGAAACAGTTTTGTTTTAGGAAAATGATTATCGAGAATACCCACAAAGTCAGCTAAATGGGTTTGCCAAGTAAGACTATTTATAAAAGCTTGCTGCATTTGTGCCTTCATGAGAGGGACAATAATTTTTCCAGGATCATATCCACGTAATTTAACAATCCGAGTTCTCCCATTTCCCATCATGGTAGCGATTTGATCCAAACAAGGAGTTAGAGTCCGTGAATTAGTATGTGGAAGAAAAAGCCACTCTCGTAAGTCCTGTTCTTGGACAATAACACCAGTAGGTGAATGCTGAGTTGAAAAAATTAGTGAATCTAGAGTCTTCTCTGGGTCTATTCTATTTATCTGAGCTTTATGGACTTGCTTCTCAATCAGTTGTAACTCGACCTCAGCCTCCTTTGTTAATTGCCGAGGGCTAGTGAGACTAGGATTTCCTCTAAGGATAAAAAACAGATTACTCATGGCATAGGTAAGAATGCCTAGAGCAGGTCGTATCCAATTATGTCCCCTAGTAATTTTTAAAAGTCATTTAATGTTTTTAATTTATCCCTACGTATGGTTACTTTCTGTGGCACAATGGTAGTGTCATTTACTAAGGTCCCCAAGTAGGAGTAAGGAGTAGTAATCTGAATTTTGTCAGGAGCTATAATTAAACCAGCACGAGAAATTGAATTTTGTGAGTGATCACAACGTTGGCTAATATTTCTCAAGTGAGGGCAGCACAAAGTATATCATCCTTATAGTGAATAATGTAATTGCTTGCTCCACATACGTCTGGCAAATTGTTGGGCTGTTTGACATGCCCTGTGGCAACACTTTCAAGTGACAATGCTTAGCAGGCTGCAGGCTGTTTACCGCAGGAATTGTAAACGCAAACTGTTCACAGTCCTGCTCAGCTAAAGGGATAATAAAGAAACAGTCTTTTAAATCTATGACTATTAAAAGCCAATTTTTTTGGAATTATAGCAGGAGAAGGCAATCCTGGCTGTGATGCTCCCATAGGTTGTATAACTGAATTGATGTCTCTTAAGTCAGTTAACATTCTCCATTTACCTGATTTTTTCTTAATTATGAAAACTGGAGAATTCCAAGGAGAAAATGTTGGAGCTATGTGCCCATTTTCTAATTGTTCAGCAACTAATTTCTCTAAAGCCTCCAGTTTTTCTTTACTTAGCGGCCATTGCTGTGTCCAAATTGGCTTATCTGTTAGCCATTTTAAAGGTGTAGGTTCTGGAGGCTTAACAATGGCCACCATCAAAAATGATATCCTAATCTTTGGCGGGAACTTTTTCCACTTGAAGTGGTTCTTTCAAACCTTGCAAATGTTTTTCTAGTCCCATACCAGGGACATACCCCATTTCATGCATTGTATGTTGACTTTGAGGGTTATATGATTGTTCTGGAATTAGAACTTGTGCTCCCCACTGTTGTAATTAATCCCTTCCCCCTAAATTTATAGGTACAGAAGTTATAATTGGTTGAATAGTCCCAGGTTGTCCGTCGGGCCCCTCACAATGCAAAATATAACTACTTTGCTATACTTCAGGGGCTTTACTAACTCCAACTATGTTAAATTCAGTGGGTTGAACTGGCTACGTGGACGGCCAGTGCTGTAGAGAAATGATTGAAATGTCCGCTCCTATATCTACCAAACCTTTAAATATCTTTCCCTGAATAGTTATTTCACAGGTAGGACGTTTATCAGTCATTTGACTTACCCAATAAGCTCCTTCGCCTTGTTTATTTGTGCTTCCAAATCCTCCTGTTCGTTTAATTTCACTTTTTCCCATTCCCACATACGGCATAATCAGGACCTGTGCTATGCGCTCTCCTGGCTCTGCTTTCCAGGGAACAGAAGTAGATACAACAACTTGAATTTCCCTATTGTAATCTGAATCAATGACTCCTGTGTGTATTTGTACGCCTTTTAAACTTAAACTAGGCCTCGCTAAAAGTAATCCTATTGTCCCTGCTGGCAAGGGTCCACAGACTCCTGTTGAGACCTTTTGCAGGGGTTCCCCAGGCTCACAGCTTTTGTGCAGCATAAATCTACTGCAGCACTACCGGCTGTGGCAGGGGACAGACATTGTGCAGGGGTGAGGGAACGGCCTGAGCTGGAAATGCCCCGGTTTAGAACAGGGCCCGGGATGGGCCCCTCATGGCGTTTCCCGAAATCAGGTTCCCTTCTTTATCAAACTTAGAGTGACACTGACTAGCCCAGTGTTTTCCTTTTTTACATTTTGGACATATTTCAGGCTCAACAGTTTTCTTTTTTCCCCTATCTGGCAGGCTGGCTTGCTGAATTTTTCTACATTCTTTTTTAGTATGACCATGCTTCCCACAGTTAAAACAAGCACCAGGAAATGGAGTATTTCCTTTATCCACTCTCAGTCCTGCCATTGCCTGTGCCAACAAAGTAGCTTTATGCAGATTACCTCCAATACCATCACAGGCCTTGACATAATCAACTAAATGTGCTTTCCCTCTGAGAGGTCGCAGAGCAGCCTGGCAATCAGGATTAGCATTGTCAAAAGATAATAACTACAACACTATATCCTCTGAGCAGCCGAATCTGCAATCATCTTTTTAAGAGACTCCTGTAACCAAGCTATAAAATCCACATATGGTTCCCTTGGTCCCTGTTTTATAGCACTAAAGGAAGGGTGCCTTTTTTCCATGCTCTGTTTGTTCCCCACCTGAAGCGATTTTTTCCCAAGCTCTAATGCACACTCCTCTAAGCTGTTCTATGGCCTCATCCTGCATGACCACTTGTGCATCTAAACCAGCCCAGCCGCCAACCCCCAAAAGTTGGTCTGCAGTTATATTAATTTGAGGTTGGGCCTGGGCATTGCAAGCAGCCTGAATGGAAGCTTCATCTGCCCAACAAGTTTTAAATTGTAAGAACTGAACAGGAGTTAGACAAGCTCGAGTAAGAGTGTCCCAGTCAGCAGGAATCATCTGACTGGAAACTAACATTCTTTAACAGTCCCATTACAAAAGGAGAACCTGGTCCATACTGATTTATTGCTTCTTTCAATTCTTTGAGTAATTTAAAAGGAAAAGGCTCAAATGTGGCTGTAATATTTCCCTGTTGATCTGGGGGGTGTACTCTAACAGGGAACTGCCAAGCCTCTAAATCGCCGTCTCATCTAGCTTGCTGAATTCCTACCTGAATAGAACTAAGAGTCGTCACTTGAGGCACTGCTCCAAGTCACTGGGGCAACTATTTTTCCAGTGTCCTCCGGAAAAGAAAGATCTGGGGGGCAATTTTCTTTGAAATAATAATGAGGGGGTGCAGAAGAGTAGGGATGAACCTCTCCTTCCTTTGCCACTTTAGCTTCAGCTGGCAAATAAACATGCTCTGTAATCTCTTCTGTTACTTCACTATACTCTTGTTCCTCCTCGTCATCAGTGTGAAAAAGTTCCAAGGTGAAAAGAACCAGACCCCATATCTGTCCCATTGTTACCCTGACGCTTCCGAGCTCCCCTTCTTACTCACCACGGGGGTTGCTTTAAGAGCACTCGGGTGTCCTCCAGCTAGTTCTCCATTCCAACTGTCCCTCCAGCAACCCTTCGACATGGATTCGAGCCCCCACGATGGACACCGCTTGCCAAGACCAGCTCAGTTGGGGAGACCCTAACCCAGCGGCGCTAGAAGAATTAAAGACACACACACAGAAAAATAGAGGTGAAGTGGGAAATCAGGGGTCTCACAGCCTTCAGAGCTGAGAGCCCCGAGCAGAGATTTACCCACATATTTATTAACAGCAAACCAGTCATCAGCATGGTTTCTATAGATATTAAATTAACTAAAATATCCCTTATGGGAAACGAAGGGATGGGCCGAATTAAAGGAATAGGTTGGGCTAGTTAACTAACAGCAGGAACACACCCTTAAAACACAGATCGCTCATGCTATTGTTTGTGGCTTAAGAATACCTTTAAGCGGTTTTCCACCCTGGGTGGGCCAGGTGTTCCTTGCCTTCATTCCTGTGAACCCACAACCTTCCAGCTTGGGCATTAGGGCCATTATGAACATGTCACAGTGCTGCAGAGATTTTATGGCCAGTGTTGGGGCCAGTTTATGGCCAGATTTTGGGGGGCTTGCTCCCAACACTCCCTGTGTCCTCATGGTCATCCCTCTATATGTCTGTGTCTTAATCTCTTAATAAGGACCTGTGGGATTAGGGCCCATCTCAGTGACCTCATTTTACCTTAATGACCTCTTTAACGGCCCTATCTCCAGCAGACACAGTCACATTCTGAGGTACGGAGTTAGGACTTCAGCATAGTAACAGGGTGGGCCATGACGCTTTCTAAAGCTGTTCATAGCTGCCACTGCCCACAGACTCAGGAACACTCACCCTCTGTGACACACAAAGCGTCTCGTGGAGGTGTTAGCTCTCTGACCACCACAGAGCTCAGGTGACCATCTTCCTTGTCACTTTTAGCACCCTGAACATGTACTCTTAGCACACAGCCTCAACCGCTGCCAGACTGTGGGCTACCAGGGACACAGGTGTTCCAAACTGTCTTCTATTCCTGTCTGCATCTGGCAAAGCACCTTTACCACTGAGCTCAGTAAATAACTTAAAAAAAAAAAAACCTACAGATTGTTTTTTTGTTTGTTTTGTTTGTTTGTTTGTTTGTTTGTTTTGAGATGGAGTTTCACCCTTGCTGCCCAGGCTGGAGTGCAATGGCACAATCTCACCTCCACCTCCCAGGTTCAAGCGATTCTCCTGTCTCAGCCTCCTGAGTAGCTGGGATTACAGGCACATGCCACCACACCCAGCTAATTTTCTGTATTTTTAGTAGAAATGGGGTTTCACCATGTTAGCCAGGCTGGCTGGTCTCGAACTCCTGACCTCAGGTGATCCACCTGCCTTGGCCTCCCAAAGGGCTGGAATTACAGGCATGAGCTACCGCAACCGGCCAATACCTACAGCTTTTTAACAAAAGGAACTGAATTTCTCACTTTGAAACCATAATAGTAAGACGTGGCTTTGGCTGGATTCCTCTAGTTCACCTGTGTCAAATCACACACTGGACAGACTGAGACAATACGTGAGGTTGACCACAAGCCACACGTATCCCAGCGTGGAAAAACACAGTGAAGACTTAATGAGTGGCTGGCATTTATTTTTTCCTTTGCATGAGCTACTTTTCCATTTTATGAATGTCTTTTCTCAACTACAGTCTTTCTCCATTAAAAAAAAATCATTCTATGTCAAATGCATTTTCACATTATCTACAATACATAGATAATAACATTACTGTGTACTCATGTTAAGTAATTATCCTTTTATTCTTTATCCTATATTAGCCAAATAAGATGGCTCAAAATGGCAAGAAGAAACATTTATTTGGGAAGGATGTACATTTGTATGTCTCTAAAAAATGGAGGGTTTTAAGACTTCCCTCATTTATAAGAAATTGCCGTGATTCGTTTATTCGACATAAACCTAATGGCGTAATTCATAATTTCCTGTGGGAATCATGTGCAACCTTGACGTATTGGATCTGCGGAGGAGGAGAAAATGCAAGATCCCAGCTGTATTCTGGTGATAACAGCTTGGTGGGTTTATTGAGGTAAAAATACTTGTTCAGGTGCTTTTCGTAGGTGCTATTGAGTCCATTTTTGATGTCATGAATAACTCCGTTCAGATATTCTTCGATGAAGTCTAAAATATTATGGGGCGTGCCACCAACCATCAAGCTGCCATAATAGAAATCCCCCTGTCCAAACGGGATGCAAGCTGCTGAGGTCGGCCTCCTCTCATAAGGGAAATTCTTGGTGTTTCTGAAATACCACCAGGCATGGAGCTGGGCCACCAATGGGCCCAGCGTCTCCACCCCGAACTCATTCTGGAAGACCTGGTTGACTGCCATACTGAAGAGGAAGTCCACCTCATCCTGGATGTGACTGGTGATATGTTCACCCAGGCTCTTCATGTACACCAGGGAGCCGTCGAGCCACCACCTCTCGGCGTCCACTTCAAATGCTTTGAACGTTCGAAGAGGACTGGGCTCTATGTCAGGCAGCTGGAGGAAGGCATCCACCATGATGTAGAAGATCACTCGGTAGCCTGTCATGAAGTGCTTATTCGCGGAGTGTAGGAACAGCCTCAGGTACTCCTCTGCAAACCTAGGTAACACACACCAGAGAAGAGACTTACTTACTTTTCTTTTTTTTTTGAGATGGAGTCTTGCTCTGATGCCCAGGCTGGAGTGCAGTGGTCTGATCTCGACTCACTGCAACCTCCGCCTCCCAGGTTCAAGCAATTCTCCTGCCTCAGCCTCCCAAGTAGCTGGGATTACAGGCACCTGCCACCACGCCCGGCTAATTTTGTGTGTGTGTGTGTTTTTAGTAGAAATGGGGTTTCACCATGTTGGCCAGGCTGGTCTCAAATTCCTGACCTCAGGTGATCCACCCACCTCGGTCTCCCAAAGTGCTGGGATTACAGGCATGAGCCACCGTGCCCGGCCAACACTTACTTTTCTAAACATGATCAGGAGAAGAGGCGGCTGAATGCGCTAACATGGGTGTCCTCTGATGCTAAGGAACTCGGGAGGTATAAGTGTGGAAGAATCAGGCCCACAGCTTCAGCTGAGTCGGTGAGTGGGAAGGAATGTCCTCACTCGGAGGGACTGAGAAAACCCACTGTGTTTTGGAATGGCTGTTGCGAAGAAAGGGAGCAGGAGCTAAATGGATATGAGTCAAAAGGTTCCCACTAGTGTTAAGGACTCGGCCATCGACAGAGAAACCCAGCACACCTTTTGTACAGGCCAGCCAGAAATTGAAGGAAATCATATCTACAGTAGTCCATTTTCAAGACAAAGGGCCTTAAATCGCCTTAGGTCAGCAAACTACAAAAGAAACAGGATATACTAGGCCCCAGCTTATATAGCCAATGCCTGCTTGTTGGCCTCCCACCTTAGCTGCCCTCACCCAAGCCAAAAAAGTTTAGTCAAAAAAGTTTAAAAATATAAAACTTTACTAGTCTGCAAAATAGCTCGCTTTGTCTGTTCTTATCAGCCTGCTCAGCTACTTAGGTCCTAAGTCAGATACTTGAAGAGCCCCTGAGCTGACCACGACTGCAATGCATTGTGGGCTGCAACAAAATGCAGCAAAACCACCCTAAAGAAAACACCTAAAGCCCCTGCCCAACAACCAACAGGTGACGTCTGGGAAGATTGTGACCCCGCCCCCCACAGTACTCAGCCTATGAGCAACCGGGGGAGGGGCCTGTGCACTAGGTGATAAATGGCTTGTTGAAGCTGTGCTGGTTGTGCCTGCCCATCAGACACCCGATCTTGCAAGAGTGTCATTAAAAGTCTCACTTTTGGCCGGGCGCGGTGGCTCAAGCCTGTAATCCCAGCACTTTGGGAGGCCGAGGCGGGTGGATCACGAGGTCAGGAGATCGAGACCATCCTGGCTAACATGGTGAAACCCCGTCTCTACTAAAAATACAAAAAACTAGCCGGGCGTGGTGGCGGGCGCCTGTAGTCCCAGCTACTCGGAGGCTGAGGCAGGAGAATGGCGTGAACCTGGGAGGCGGAGCTTGCAGTGAGCCGAGATCGCGCCACTGCGCTCCAGCCTGGGTGACACAGCGCGAGACTCCGTCTCAAAAAAAAAAAAAAAAAAGTCTCACTTTCACCATTCTCCAGGTCTCTGAGTCCATTCTTTGGTTTTGGAAGGGTGAGTTCGTTTCTCACAGAAATCATGGCTATTGTTATCATTAATTATGCTTGATTATGGTTGGCTCTTTGGAGGGCAAAGAGCTGTGAATGCTGATCCACATTTTCCCAAAATAAAAAAGGGCAAAGGTGAGTGGCACCTACCTGCCAGTAGCAAAGACAGCCAGGCCCACGGTGATATTCCGCCTTCTGTAATGTTTTTCCAGGACCTGCCTGTCGAAAGTCCCTTCCCATACAATGGGAGCAAGCCAGTCTGTTTTCGTTATAACATCAGGGCGTTTTCTGTGGAAGAAGAACCAAATTAAAACAGGGCTTGCTTTACTGAGGTGCCGGCAGCAGGTGCCGAGCAGTAATGACTAATGCTTAGAAAGCACTGGCCGGGCGTGGTGGCTCAAGCCTGTAATCCCAGCACTTTGGGAGGCCAAGACGGGTGGATCACGAGGTCAGGAGATCGAGACCATCCTGGCTAACACGGTGAAACCCCGTCTCTACTAAAAAATACAAAAAAACTAGCCGGGCGAGGTGGCGGGCGCCTGTAGTCCCAGCTACTCGGGAGGCTGAGGCAGGAGAATGGCGTGAACCTGGGAGGCGGAGCTTGCAGTGAGCTGAGATCCGGCCACTGCACTCCAGCCTGGGTGACAGAGTCAGACTCCGTCTCAAAAAAAAAAAAAAAAAAAGCACCAGCTGCACATCCGGCTCTGTGTTTGAGTGCATTATCCCACTGGATTTATCTTTGCAATGCCCTATGCAGTGAGTGCCACCACCCCTGATCTCCACATGGGGAACCAGAGGCACACACGATTGAGTAAGTTGCCCAACACTGCACAGTTAACACATGGGGGTTGGGATGCCACACCTAGCCCACCTGGCTCCTGGGTTTGTGCGTTCCTCCCCCAACCACCTGCCTTTGAGCCCAGGAGCTGCCTTGTCCGAGCTCTGACTGCAGCTCAAAATTAGGCAGCCCAGAGTCAGAACACTCTCCAATCATTCACTGAAGCCAAGGTGGGAGGCAGGAGATCACCTCCCTTACGCAATGCCTTTATTTTTCCCTCCTTCTCTGCTTTCTTTTTCTCTCTCCCCTTTTCCTACAAGTTTCTGGGGATGCCCTTTTTTTTCCAGCTTCTCCCTCATGCTTTAGGCCCATCAGTGTAATGCAGCAGAAATGAGAGATGAATCCAAAAAGGGAGAGAGCCATCTGATTTGCCTTCAATACAACAAGACCACAGCAGGATTTAAGACAGGCTATGAAACATCTGAAAATCAATGAATGTAAACCACCATATTGAAAGACAGAGAAGATCAATCACATGCTCAACTTGGAAAAAACACCCTACAAAGTTCAATGTCGATTCATGATAAAAGCTCCCAGAAAAAAAAGTAATAGAGGGGAATGCCCTCAACTTGATAAAGAACATCTACAAATACCCTCTAGCTCACACACTTCATAGTGAAAGACTGAATGTTTTCTCCCTACAATGAGGAACGTGGCAGCTCCAACATAGTAATGACAGTTCTAGCCACTGCAATAAGGCAAGAAAATGAAATAAAAGCCATCAGATTGGAAAGGAAAAAAATAACACTGTCCCTATTTGCAGATTACATAATTGTCTACATAGAAAATCCTAAGGAATCTAAAAACAACCAAAATCTCCTAGAACTAACAAGTGAACTCAGCAAAGCTTCAGGATACAAGGTCAACACATTAAAAAAGTAATCTCCTTACTATGAACAATGAACATGCAGAAAGTAATATTTAAAACACAATGCTATCTCCAGTTTCTCCAAAGAAAATGAAATACTTTAATATATCACTACTGAAAAGGAGTCACTCCCCATTCCCTTCTCCCTACAATCCCTGCAACAACTCATCTACTTTGTCTCTATAGAGTTCCCTGTTCTGGAAATATGGCTGAATAATATTCCATTGGATGGCTAGACCACATTTTGTTTATCCGTTCATTAGCTGAAGAACATTTGAGTTATTAACACTTTTGGCTATTATGAATAATACTGCTATCAAAATTCATACATGAGTTTTTTGTGTGAAGATATGCCTTTAATTCTCTTGTGTATATATCTAGAGGTAGAACTGCTGGGTCATATGATAATTCTATGGTTAACTTTTTGAGGAACTGACAAATTGTCTCCCATAAAGGCTGCACCATTTTACATTCCCACCAAAAGTAGATGAAATTTCAAATTTCTCCACATCCTCGCCAACACTTTTTTGTTATCTTTTTTATTCCAGCCATCCTACTTTACACATCTTTATACATCATAGAGTGTGAAGTGCTATCTCAGTGTGACCTTAATTTGCATTTCCCTAATAGCTAATACTGTTGAGCACCTTTTCATGTGCTTATTGGCCATTAGTATACCTTCTTTGGAGAAATGGCTATTCAGATCCTTTGCCCATTTTAAATCACTATTTGTTATTTTGTTGTTTAATTATAAGAGTTATTTATATATTCTGGATATTAGGCCCTTATCAGATGTGAATTGCAAATGTTTTTCCTATTCTGTGGGTTGTCTTTTCATTTTCTTGATAATGTCCTTTGATTCATGAAAGTTTTAGTTTTGATGAAGTCCACTTTACCTATTTTTTATTGTTGTACTTTTGATTCATCAGGTTGAGGAAGTTACCTTCCATTTCTAGTTTATTGGGTGCTTATTATTTTAAGTGTTGAATTTTGTCAAATGCTTTTTCTGCATCTATTGAGATGATCCTGTGGGTTTTATATTCCGTATTCTATTAATACAGTGTATTACATAAATTGATTTTCATACATTGAACCAACCTGAATTCCTGGAATAAATCTCACTATGTAGTTTATGGTGTATAATCCTTTTTTACATGTTGCTGAATTCAGTTTTCTATAATAGTATTTTGCTGAAAAGTTTTGCATTTATATTCATATGGGATATTGGTCTGTAGTTTTCTTGTGATACCTTTGTCTAGTTTTGATATCAGGGTAATACTGGTCTAGAGTGAGTTGAAAAATACTCCTTTCTCTTCTAATATTTTGAAGAGCTTGTGAAAGATTGGTATTAATTCTTCTTTAGCATTTGACATAGTTTACCAATGACATTTTGTATTTCTGGGCTTTTCTTTGTAGAAAGATTTTTATTACTAATTCAAAGTATTTACTTATTATAGTTCATTCAAATTTTCCCTTTCTTCTTTAGTCTTTCTAGGAATTTCTTCATTTCATATAGGTTATTTAATTTGTTGGCATACAATTAATCACAGTATTCCCTCATAATCCTTATTATTTCTGGAGGTTGGTGGTCATGTCCCCTCTTTCACTCCTGATTCTAGTAATTTCAGTTCTCCCTTTTTATCTAGGTCAATCAAGTTATACTTTTGGCAAATTTCTTTATCTTTTCAAAAAACTAATTTTGGTTTTGTTAACTTTCTCTATTATTCTTCTATTTTCTATTTAATTGATTTGCTCCTCTTTTTTTCCTGTGCTTGCTTTAGTTTTATTTGGTTCTTCTTTTCTGATTTTCTTAATGTATACATTTTCCTTAATGTATAAAGCCTAAGACCAGCCTGGTCAAAATAGCAAGACCTCATCTCTACAAAAAAATTTTAAAATTAGCAGGTTATTGACTTGGGATCTTTCGTTTTAATGTAGGCATTTATAGCTATAAATTTCTCAGTAAGCACTGCTTTTGCTGCACCCCATAAGTTTGGCATGTAGTGTTTTTATTTTCAATCACATTAAAATATTTTTTAATTTCTCTTGTGATTCCTTTTTGAGTATTTAGGAGTGAATTGTTAAATGTCCACACATCTGTAAATTACCCAAATTACTTTCTGTTACTGATTTCTAATTTTAGAATTTAGAAAAAATGATCAAAGAACATATTTTGAGCTGGGCGCGGTGGCTCATGCCTATAATCCCAGCACTTCAGGAGGCCGAGGCAGGCGGATCACGAGATGGGGAGATCAAGACCATCCTGGCCAACACCGTGAAACCGCGTCTCTACTAAATACATAAAAAATTAGCCAGGCATGGTGGTGGGCGCCTGTAGTCCCAGCTACTTGGGAGGCTGAGGCAAGAGAATGGTGTGAACCTGGGAGGCAGAGCTTGCAGTGAACTGAAATCGTGCCACTGCACTCCAGCCTGGGCAACAAGAGCAAAACTCTGTCTCAAAAAAAAAAAAAAAAAATACTCAAACAATACAATTACAGAAATGCAAATTGAATTGAGGTCTTAACTAGCAGCTTTACCAAACATAAAAAAGCTTGTAATACTTTATGCACTGTATACAAGAAGATAAAATGGTACCATTATTAAAAGTAAATTTAGCCATTTTAAATTTACATCCAAAATTTTAAATGTCTGCATTCTTTGGCCTAATAACTTCATTTTAGAAATGGATCTCACATAGGAAGTCATACATCTGTGTAAAAAAAAAAAAAAAAAAAAAAAAGGGCTACATTTAGTCACCAGAACTTTGCCTACAATAGCCCCCAAACTGTAAATAACCCCAAACCTACATAGGAACACAACACAAAGTTGAACACTACACACACTTTACAAAGGATGAGGCTGCCCCTGAGTGCTGCCACCAAAGTCAAGCAGCGTCATCAGTAGCATTTTCAAGCTGTTTCCGAAGAGATGTTCTTGCACTGCCTAAACCAGGAAAGCCAAGCCAGGTAGCGTGAATCTGCTTCTTCATGACCACCGTCACCGCCTGGTTCGTGATCAACGGACCCTGGTTTGTTTATAAGAACCTCGAAAATAAAACTCCAATTCTGGAAACCTCGCAGGAGAGCTGAATTTAGTGACTGGGGAAGAAAAGCCTATCCATCAAGTTGAGTATATCCGTTTCGTTGTGTGCAGTGCAAAAAGCATTTGTTCTACTGGATGAAACCAGTTGAAGTCAAGTTCTTCTACTTGTGGGATTCTGGTAAAAGACGAAATCGCGTGATACCAAGGGGAGCCGTTCAATGTTACTGAGCTGCACTGGCAGCCTTGCATTTTTCAACATTGTCCAATCCAATCAGAGTCGGGAAGCTCCTGGAAGGGAGATATCTCCCAGCTGGTGGGAAGGTGTGTAGCTGTCTAGGACAGATTAGGGAAAGAGTCATGGCCACAGCAGAATGTCAGGAAAAGAGTTGGTTGGGAGAAAGATTTTTTTAAAAAAGGAATGCCCGGCCGCGGTGGCCTCACGCCCTGTGAGCCAGCCACCTTTGGAAGGCGAGGCCGTGGATCCAGAGGTCAGAATCAAGACCATCCGGGTTAACACTGTGGAAACCCCCGTCTCTACTAAATACAAAAAATTAGCCGGGCCTGGGTGCGGCGCCTGTATCCCAGCTACTCATGAGCTGGAGGCAGGAGAATGCCTGACCGGAGGCGGCTTGCACAGTGAGCCGAGAATCGCACATTTGCAATCTCCCAAGGCCTGGGCACAGAGCGAGACTTCGTCTCAAAAAAATAAAAGAAAAAATAAAAAAGTAAAAAAGGGAAATGAACAGATCGTAAAAATGTATATTCCAGACAAAAACATAGATTTTAATTAATTTAATACCAACATTTAAGCGTTTTTGCTACATGTTGTAAAGAGGTGGGGAGGAGGCATCCAGAAGTTCGTCTTTGATTCTGTTTGCATTTCATTTTGTTATTTATTTAAGAGATGCGTCCTCTCCACTGGTGCATGATCACGCTCACTCAGCCTCAACCTGACTCAAGCCATCCCCCCACCTCAACCTCCAAGGTATAGGACACAGGCACCAGGGTAGCTACTCCCTTGCATTCCACAGCTGCGCATTCATCTAGATGTAATTGTGCCTTTAAACTATTACCAAGCTTATAGCCAACCTCTGTTCGTTAACCCTAGGAGGATTTTTTTTTTTTTGACAGGTTTTCACTCTGTCACCCAGCTTGAGTGCAGTTGTCACCATCCACAGTTCACCTCAGCCTCACCGTCCTGGGCTCAAGCGATCTCCCCTCAGCCTCCCCAGGAGCTCAGACCCAGGGGTGTGCACCGCCTGGCGAATTTTTAAATTTTGTAGAGACAGTGGTCCTGCCCTGCTTCCTAGGATAGTAACCCTGGATATTTATTAAGTAAAATAAATAACTTCAAGACTGTCTCTTTTAATGGTATTCTCATGAGTGTCCTTAGCCACAACATTCCATGATTGATCCCACAGGGCAAGACACATCAAAAATCACAAATTGTCCCACACCAGATTCAAAAACATGAAGGACAAAGGGGGAACTTAATTAAGGTCCTCATTCTTCACCATGCTGTCTATTAATTTTGGGCGCTGCAGAAGACCAGAGCCAAGACCCACATTCCCCCCTGGCTGAAGAGGTTATTGTAACCTAAGAAAAAATACCCTTGACAGAGATTTTTTTTTTTTTTCTTTTCAAGAACGGATCTTCTCTGTCGCCCAGGCGGAGTACATGTGGTAAATCTTAGCTCACTGCCAACCTCCACCTCTTGGTTTCAATGATCTCTGCACTCGCTCCCAGACCTGGATTACAGGCACGCAGTCACACACCAACAATTTTTGTGTTTTAGTAGAGATGGGTTTCACCATGTTGGCCAGGATTGGTCCTCCAACTCCTGACCTCAAATGATCCACCTGCCTCAGTCTCCCAAAGTGCTGGGATGACAGGAATGAGCCATCACACCCAACCTGTCCTGTCCTTTCTGTAACCAACCCCCAAATCCTCAAGCTCAACACACACACACGTGCACACACACACACAAGCACACACACACGTGCATTACATACACACCAGCCTGCACATAACACAGACAGTGGTGTCTTTAGAGATTAGCGCTGTCTTTGGTTTCCTGTTTCCCTTGCCTCTCTTGCCGTTAGGACCCAGTTGACCCCCTCCAGCCTTGCTTTGCAGTTTGTGGAATATTTAGACAACAAATATTCTCGCCGGCTGAGATGCCTTTTCTATTTTTATTTTTATTTTTATTTTTATTTTTATTTTTATTTTTAGAGGGAGTCTTGCTCTGTCTCCCAGGCTGGAGTGCAGTGGCACGATCTCAGCTCACTGCAACCTCTGCCTCACGGGTTCAAGCGATTCTCCTGCCTCAGCCTCCCGAGTATCTCAGATTACAAGTGCCCACTGCCACACCCGGCTAATTTTATTTTTATTTTTATTTTTATTTTTTGTATTTTAGTAGAGATGGGGCCAGGCTGGTCTGGAACTCCTGACTTCAGGTGATCTGCCTGCCTCGGCCTACCAAAGTGCTGGGACTACAGGCATGAGCCACCACACCTGGCCTGAGATTCCTTTTATATAGAGAGGTTTGCCAGACAAAACACAGGATGTCCATTCAGTTTACAATAAGCAATGAATAATTTTTTCGTGTAACTATTGCATGGGACACACTTCTGTTAAAAATGACTCACTGTTTATCTGAAATTCAAATGTAACTGAGCATCCTGTATGTATATTTCCTAAATGGATCAACCCAACCAGTGAATAACTCCTTATTCTTTAAATAAATGAAAAAAAAAATAATTTAAGTTTTAAATTTGAACAAAGACCCATTGCAATTTCAATAACAAAATATCTAGAATCAAGATCCATTTATTTATTCATTTCTTACCAAATAATGAGTGAGCACCTCCTACATGCCAGGCCCCCGGCTATGGTTCTGGGGTAGATGGCAGGATCTGTGCCGTGGATTAACGTGTGGGTCCCTGTCCCCCTTCTGCCGAAGATGACCCCATCATTAACCTCAAACAGATCATCTGAAACCCTTTATAACTGGCCATGCATCCTTTTCATTAAGGTACAATCCTCCAGGAGGACAAACGACACAAAATACATGGCACCAAAGCAGTGGGGATGGTCATTTTGTTTTGTTTTTTGAGACAGAGTCTCACTCTGTCTCCCAGGCTGGAGTGCAGTGGTGTGATTTCAGCTCACTGCAACCTCCGCCTCCCAGATTCAAGCGATTCTCCTGCCTCAGCCTTCCCAGTAGCTGGGATTACAGGCACCCACCACCACGCCCTGCTAATTTTTGTATTTTTAGTAGAGACAGGGTTTTGCCATGTCAGCCAGGTGGTCTCGAACTCCTGACCTCAAGTGATCTGCCCACCTCTGCCTCCGAAAGTGCTGTAATTACAGGTGTGAGCCACCGCGCCTAGCCTTGTTTTTCCTTTCCTTTTTTTTTTTTTTTTGCATGATTTACTTTTATTTCTCCTTTTTTTGTTTCAATCAACTTTATTTTTAGAGCAGATTCAGCCTTACAAAAACATTCTAAAGCTAGTAGGTGGAATCCCCTGCACTCACCCAGTTTCCCCTATTATTAACATCTAGCTTTAGTAGGGCACTTTTGTTCCAATTCATGAAGCAACACTGATGCTCTATTATTAATGGGAGTCCATATTTTGGTTGGATTTTCTTGGTTTCCCCTAATGTTCCTTCTCTTTCTCAGGGTCCCACCCAGCACGCCACACTCCAGTCAGCCTACTGTCTGGATCCCACCCAGGACGCCACACTCCACTCAGCCTCCTGTCTGCACAGGTTCCTCTTGACTGCAGCCGCCTCTCAGACCCCATCATGACTTCCTGTTGATGCTGACCTTGTCCGCCTGGCTAGGGTTGTGTTTTCAGGTCTCTCCACGCAAAGACTGTTCTTTCTCCCCGCTTTCTTTATAAGGAAGCACTGCACGCAACTCACATTTCAGGACTGGGGCATCAGGTTCTGCGTCCTTGGTGGTGGAGAATCTACAGACGTGATTTAGAATTCTTCTGCATACGGGAGATTTGTCTCTTCTCCCTTCTTCCTTCCTTCTATCCTTCCAACATCCAGCCAACCTGTCTTCCTTCCTTTCTTCCTTCTTGTTTTTCCTCCAATCATTCATTTACATCAGTATGAACTTGTGGAAATTCGTTTCATACTCTGGGTTATAATTCAATGTTACTTTCTTTTCTCGCTCAAGTGGCTCCAGCTCTGGCCATTGGGAGCTCTCCCAGTTAGCTCCCATGTCCCATTTAAGTGGCATACTCTCTTAAATATAGAATTTGTAAAAAATCCCTTCCATCCTTCCTGGCACTATGAGATGCTCTGGGCTCATCTTATAAATCTCCTGCCCAAATCTAGAATCACCCACTTCTCCAAGAAGCCTTGGTTGTTTTCCTGGAGAATGGTGCTAGAAACCAAGATCTGGGCACCAGGTGTGCTCACTGCTAGCAGGGTGTCCTTCCTCCTAGGCCCTCTCAGCTAATACAGCAAGGAAATAAACACTAACCTGTGTGTATATCCACATATCTTCGAACATCTTGACACATAAACATCTCTGTTCACAGTAAGGTAAACGTGAGTTCATGCTGAGGTCTCCAGCTTCAATCCATTCCCACCCGGATCATTGTGGCCCCTTTCTTCCTTATCTATGAAGTCCCCTCCAACAGCAAGAAACCTGCTCCCCCATGCCCCATTCATTTATTTAACTGATTCAAACATACATGTAGAGCAGCAGCAGAATTGTTAACTCATTCTCCTGTGGGAAAAAACCTTTATCGACCCAAACACAGTGCTCATGTGCAGTTTCTATTGCTTCTACTTTTAAACTCCACTCATTCCCAGCTGGGCACTGTGGCTCACACCTGTAATCCCAGCAGTTTGGGAGGCTGAGGCAGGCAGATCACCTGAGGTCAGGAGTTCGAGAGCAGCCTGGCCAACATGGTGAAACCCCATATCTACTAAAAATAAAAAACTAGCCAGGCGTGGTGCCACGTGGCTGTAGTCCCAGCTACTCGGGAGGCTGAGGCAGGAGAATAGCTTGAACCCAGGAGGCAGAGGTTGTGGTGAGTCGAGATCGTGCCACTGCACTCCAGCCTGGGTGACAGAGACTCTGTCTCAAAACAAAACAAAACAGGCCAGGCGCGGTGGCTCAAGCCTGTAACCCCAGCACTTTGGGAGGCCGAGACGGGCGGATCACGAGGTCAGGAGATCGAGACCATCCTGGCTAACACGGTGAAACCCCGTCTCTACT